CACCCGCAGACACACAAACACACACACAGTCCTGGTTTCCACCGCTTCTATGATGGTGGTGGCAAATAGCAGGAACAGAAACTAAAAGGGTGTCGTTAACAGCAAGTTCCAACACCAACCCAACCTCCACACCGGGGTTCTGGGCTAACCGGTGATTTGTTTTCTCCAAACGTGCGGGTGCCCACACCCCTCTCGCAGCCCTCCCGCTCCTTCTGGGATGGGAGTGAGGTGGGGGCGCCAAGTTTCTTCACATCTTCCTCCAGCCTCCGAGGGGACTGTCGGAGCCCAGCTCGCCCCGCCCAGGAATGGGGCGTGGCCAGGAATGAATTTAGATAGGATCGCGGCGTTTTGTTTTGCTTCCTCCCTTCTGTTTTCTACTCTTCTTCTATTTGCCTCCCAGGAAAGTACAAGGTTCAAACCAGGTTTGTCTGCCTTCCGCTACCTGGGGCGGGCTGCCTTCTGGTCTCAGCTCCGGGGCTCTGAGCTCCGAAAAGCGTTAGTCCTCTGTCCCCTTCCCCACTCCTTGGCACTTCACAAATGCCGCCAAAAAGTTGATCCCATGAGTAATTGCATGTCTTCACCGATAGAAATGGATTGTATTTGGTGTCATAAGTAACCTTCACTTCAGGAACTGGGTTTAGGTTTTTCCGCCGCCAGCCCCGGTTCCCCATCCCCTGAACCCCCACTCTGCCGCTCTGATCAGCTGTGTTCTGCCTTCGGAAATACTTATTAAAAGGGAGAGGGCATGTAATGAGCGAGGCGAACACTGCTTTTCCAGCGCATCGACTGGAAGCTGCGGGGGCTCTCCCGTGTCTGGGCTCAGCATTTGCTGCCCGGTTGCCCACACCCCTCTGCCCTCGCTGAAGAATCCTAGCTCTGTGGCTTTTTTTTTTTTTTTTTTTTTTTGCTTTCAATGTGCATCAACAGTGAATACTGACATAGCCAAGAGGCGAAGCACCCTATCTTTTCTCCACCCACCCCCCACGCCCCACTTGTCAAGTCACAGATGCACTGGGTATCAGTGTATACTCATGGCCACAGGGCAAGGCACCAAAAAGCTTTCCTGACAATGCCATTTGCAGCTGGGCCCCATTTCCGGGGGAAAATAGAGATGCTGAAGAGTAAACAGAAATCGCTTAGTCAGCAACTGTCGCCTCCCCAAGAGGTGAATGTAAATAGCCTGGTACTGAGGGGGAGGGGCAGCCAGCCAGGCAGCACAGGGCCTTCCTCACAGGCCAGCTGAGGGCTTTCAAAGGGACTAGCATTCCTGTTCTGTTGAGGGTAGGGAAGGTGTCCCCTAGGTAGGAGTTGTGTGGCCTTAGCCCTAGAAAGACAAAACTTGCTGACTCGGGGCAGAATTAATATCAATTGAATTTATTACAAGTTACTAAGCTCCAAGGCACATTACAGTGTTCTGTTAACTACAGAAATGTATAAAGGACAAACAGAGCAGATTCTCCATGTCTAGCATTTCGCTCTACTGTTCAAAAGCATCCGTGCATCAATAAAGCAAAAACAAAACAACACGTGAAGATCCAACACATTCAGGTCAGTAGAAACAAACCTAAACATCTTCCCCTCACAAACTTGCAACAAAAAACACCCCGTCCCCCCCAACACCCCCCTTACCATTTTGCAAACAAAACAGGAAAACAAAACAAAACAGAACAAAATAAAGTGAAGACTTCAACACTTGGGGCTGTTTAGAAAGAAGCTTTCACCATTTTATAGCATCATTATTATTATTATTTTTTTTTTAGGCAGCAACACTGGCCTTGGCAAAAAAAAAAAAAAAAAATCTTTTTCTTTTGTGTGTTTTTTTCCTTTCAGAGTGCATAACATTTACAAAAATACACACCAGCAGCAGTCGTTGCTAAGGGCTATTAATTCTGTACCTAGGCAAACATTCTGCCACCAAATAAATGCTAACGAATATGATGCAAATGACCCAACTAATATTATACTGCTTAACACAAACCAGCTTATCCTTCAAATGAAGAAGTTACATACCTTTGTTTCAAAATATAGAAACATACGACGAAAATAATGTCTATACATAAGACTAACTTTTTGCAGTTTGTTATATTCACAATTCTACATCTTGGGGGTGAGGGGAGGGAGATTGGAGGAGGGGTCGGGGAGGGGCTTTGTGGATTGGAGAGGAGCTGGTCTAGGGCAAAGGAGGTGGGTGCCCTGTGGTTCAAGGGTCTCTCTCCTTTTTCACTTTAACATCCCCAGCTAAGATAGTCGCGATTTCGCCCTGCATGAAGGCCCAAGGTACATTCGACCCGACTAAGGGGCATTTCTCTCCGCTGGGGCAATACACCTCGCCAGTGGCCCCCTGGGCCTTGATACTCTCTCTAGAGCAAGGGAAGCAGAATTTGTGGCTGGGGACGGATGGGCACTGAACGAAATGCGTGTCCTCCAAACGTTCGTGGCAAATGGTACAGCAGAGAGGTCCGCTGTTGGCCATGGGGGAATCCGGAATGTTTTGGGGGTGCACTTGGTCCATACCCGGGTGGGCGCTAGGCGGCGGGGGCGCCACCTGTAAATTCAGGTCCCCGTTACGTGATGCCAAGCGGCGCTGCCCAGGCACCGACGCGGGCGACACTGGGCTGCTGCTGTTGCGCCGCGCGGACGCAGTGGTTGAGTGCACTGAACTGCCATCCTTAGGCGAGTGCGCTGTGCCCAGAGTGTCTGCTACTGACATGAGGGCGGCCATGGGGGACGGACCGTTCTGCGGGGCTGACTCCGGCGGGGTGGTCCGGTTGGAATGGGGTCCCAGGGGTGGGGGTGGTGGGGGCGGACCCCCAGCAGTGTGACCAGGCGCCGCAAAGCCCCCGGCCGACATGGTGAGCTTCAGTGCCTCGCTCTGGTTTGCCATCCACTGCTGCCTCTGCTGTTCCTCGCCCAGTTTCAGCGCGCCCTCGGCTGAGTCCGGGGGTTCCGGGGACGCCTTCCGCTTGCGTAGGCTAGCAGCTGCGCCCCGGCCCGAGGGCGCGGCGGGCGGCAAGGCCCCAGTCCCTGGAGGTGCGCTGGGGGCGCGGCTGAGACTCACCAGCGCCGTGGGCAGCATGGGGCAGCTGGCGTCCAGGTAGGGCTGGGGCAGCATGTCCGCGCCGGGCACGCCCTCCTTAAAGAAGCGCACGGCTTCGGGCAGCAGGTCCCCAAGCAGGCGCCAGTCCCCGGAGCCGTGCTTCTTCTCGTACTCCAGGTACTTGAAGCCGGAGGAGAGGCCCCGGCCGAAGTCCTTCATGCAGTCCTGGTACATCTGTTTGGCCACACCGGACGCGCTGGAGTACACGTTGCCCGAGCCCGTAGGATATTCAATGAACAGCTTCAGCTCGTAGTCCATGCCGGGCTTGGAGACAGCGTCGAAAGCGAAGACGCGGCCCAGCAGCGAGTGGTCCTTCTTGAAACGCACCTCGTAGGGCGTGCAGCCCGCCAGCGTGAGCAGCGTGTCGCGGACCATCTTGGGCTTGTTGGCCCACTCCTCGGCGCGATTGCGCAGGCTCTCGCTTAGCTCGGCCAGGGCCTCGGCGTTTCTCTGCTTCTCCTTCAGCTCGCGCTCCTGGTCGGTACTCGACACTGAGCCGGGCCTCTTGCCACCAGCACCCACGCCCACCTCCGCCACCGACGACGAGGTTGAAGACGACGCGGTAGACGCCGCGGCCGAAACGCCCGGAGTGCCCCCAAGACAGGCTGGGCCTCCGGGAGCCCCTGGCGGTGCTGGCGTCGGGGGTCCGCGGCTTCCCAGCCCGTGGGGCGGGGGCGGGGGCAGCACCGCGGCGCTGGCTGGGCCGTTAAGCAGCGTCTGTGGCAGCAAGTTGGGAGGCACCGCGAGTTGGGGGCCCCCGCCACCCCCCGGGTTGGGCAGCCCAGTCACTAGCCCACCATGTGTCCCACGCCGAGAGGCCACCGACGCTGCAGAGGAAGAGGAGTTGGGGCTCTGTCGGTTCAGCTCCGGGGGCCCCTCCTCTGATGCTGGCTTTGGGAAGCCGTTTGGGCCCCCAAGGCCATTGGGCAACCGCGCGGTGTGACTGCTGCTCCCCAGGCTCACCGGCGGTGGCGGGTACTCGAAGCGGCTGCGTTGTTCCACCGCGGCTGCGGCGGCGGCGGCGGCGGCGGCGCTGAGACCATAGCGCTCTAGGCCGGACGGGGCCGCCAGTACCGCAGCCTTGCTGGAACCATCGACGTGGTTGAGCTGCTGCTGCTGTTGTTGTTGCTGCTGCTGCTGCTGTTGCTGTTGCTGTTGCTGCTGCGCGGCAGCTGCCGCCGCCGCCGCCGCCGCCGCCGCTTCCTTAGCCGACAGGGCCACCGTCTTGACCCCGACGGGCGGCGGCGGCCCGGGGGAGCGGCCGTCCTGGAAGCAGCCGTGAGCCCGCTTCAGCTGGCGCGCGGTCTCGATCACGAACTCTATGCGATCTGCGCCTTCGTAGTTGACGCAACCGCGGCATACAGGTTCGGAGAAGTCCCAGATCATGGCCCAGGGCATGCGGGGCAGGTCGCACAGGTAGCAAGACTGTCTTCGGGACGAGGACACCTGCGCCGCCGACATGATGCCAGCCCTGGGTAAGGGAGGCCCCCGCCCGGGCTGTCTCCGCGGCGCCTTCTCCTCCGGGAGGACTGGCTGGCTGGGGAGGGAGTCCGGCTGCGGGGGAGGGACGAGGGGGGGCGAGAAAGTTCTGCCCCCGGGGCTGGAGGGAGCACGAGTCTCCACCGCCGGCGCAGGGCCTCTCCGCCGGGGCTCCACCGCCGGGGCGGTGGACGGGTTCAGCCCGCTCCTCGCCCCCACCTCCTACTGCGGCTGTCTCGTCGGGAAACGAGCCCAGGCGCCTTCTTCCTGGTGCGGCAGATCGGGGTTGGAAGCTCCGGGCCCGGGGGGAGGGGGCGAGGGTGTCCGGTGCTGGCCGCCGTTGCCTCTTGGCCCCCTCCCCGGAGTGGCTGGTGCGTGGAAGCTCGAACGGGGCTGCCTCTTCCTCTCCCCTGGGGGCCCCCCTACGAGCTGCGTCCTCTCCCCGCCAGGCACCCTGGGGCGAGGGCTAGAGGGCTGTGCCACCCGGTGCCCGGGTCCAATCTTGCTGAAGCCGCTGCTTCCCTGGAGGGCCGGGGGAGGGGGTGGCAGCCGAGAGAGGAGCTTCTCCCCTCCGCAGGGTCGGCCGTTCCGTTGTTGGCGGCAGGGTTTGCACGCCGGAGGGAGCCGCAGCGGCCACCGCTTCCAGGACGCACGAGAGCAGAGGAGAGGAGCGCACGCACGCAGGCTCCCGCCGCCCCCTGGCCTGGCCGGCGCCCGGGCCGCCGCGGTTGGCGGCGCTCACGTTGGCTGCAGGGCGCTCGCGCGGCGCCTCGGCCCGGGTCGCATCCCTTCCCGCTCGTGCTCGCCCGGAATGTGGGGTTGTGATTGTTACTCTACGTTCCGGAGGCGCGTCTCGGCGCTCCTGCTCGGGCTGCGGCTCGCGCTGTCCCCGGCTTGGCCGCGCGGGATGCCGCCCGGGCGGAGCGCTGACGTCACCGCCATGCTCTGCACCAGTCTCTCCACCCCCCTTTACACTTCCTCTGTCTGTGGAGCCCACTTGTTGCTCTAGAAAGGCGCATGCGCGGCAGGACGCCCAGATTCCTCCCAGCCGGCCCCTCCTCCGCGCCTCCGCCCTCCCCTCCCCCTCGCCGTGTGTGTACAACAGCTGAGGCCGGCGAGCTAAAGCTGGAAGTCCAGGGCTGGGGGTGGAAATTAAACAGACGTTGACCTTTCCTTTCCCTGCCCGGCTTTCCCAAGTAAAAATGCTTTTAAGAACCACAAGCGTCGCTTCCGATCCCCATTCCCCACCCCACCCCAGGCAGCGAATTTAAATGTCCTGTTTTAGAATTCTCACATTGCATTTCAATCAAGGTATTACCCATTTCATCTAAAATCAATCCCCCGCCCCCGCCCCTCATGGATGTTACTCCTTGCCACATTGATGTCGAAGCACCTGCAAAATTAGCTGTTTTCCAATATCCTGAAACCATTTTGGATCTGTTTTTGTGCCCTGGTCTAGGAACCCGAGGTTCAATGATGGCGCTAAATGAATTCAGGGTGAGTTCCTTCTCCCGCTAACCGAACTCTAAAAATTTTGGCTGAACGTCTAAAGAAGCTCTGAGCACCCGGAGGCCTTTAAGGAAAACAGTCAACTGGCTGCGCACAGCTGCAGTTGAGGGCAGGGAGGGGGAGGTGCTGGAAAGGCCAAACAGGTGAGTGGTTTTTCTAGATTCATTAAAAGAAGGTGGGGGTAGCATTTAGTAATACTGATAGTTTTTTGTACAGTGCAGCCACAGTTTTCAAAGTTCTTTCTCACGTGCCCTGATTTTATTCCTTATTGCTCCAGAACGCTGGGCAAAGCCAGGATTTCTTTTTCCCTTATAAGATAGATCACTGTTCATCATTGCTCATTGTAGAACAGATGTGTTGGTCCTATCTGTGATTGGGGCATTTCAACTGATTCTTCTGTTTATTAGGTTTGCCTTCCCCCCACCCCCTCATGATAATTGAGATAATCCTTGAGGAAAGGAGGCGATGTAATGGAATTGGATTCTGCCCAGGGTTGGAATTTCCTTTGCAACCTTGAGCTAGTTATTTACATAATTTCTGTTGTCTTTCTGTAAAATGGAACAATAGCTTCTAACTTGTTAGGATTGAGATTTTAATTTGTTTTGTAGTAAGAAGGAACTCTTTTATTGAGGTTGAGGAAGATCAGACACTGTATAAAACGGCTTATCTGCATCAACCTTAATATTATACTTACATTGTGTATTATCTATATTAAACCCTTATCATTATTTGCAAGGTTGATTCTGTTGACTCCATTTTACAGTCCAGGTAAGTAAAGAGGATAAATAATGTGCCTACAACATTTGGAGCTACAGCTGGTATCTGAGCCAGTAAATCTGTTTTTGAGAGGTGGCTTTCACAAGCTTAGGCTCCCAGAGGTGATTTGGGATACTCAAAATTCCCATCAGTGCCCCATTCTTTATTATATATAATCCTATGTAAAGTGCTATGCAAATGCGTCTTCACAACCAACCCCCAGCCTCCCCTTCCAAGATTGTGCCAAGGAATTCTTCCATATACAGAAGTTGTGGATCTGCTACTGCTACAGACTGTAACATAAATACAACATACAGTATATAGAGCACAGTGTGGGTCGCTCAGGAAGCTGCCAGCAAGTGTTGGTTATTATCGGTATTGGTACTGTTGCTGGCTAACAGGTCAAAAGTACTTTGTAAAAGTGCTTAAAACATAAGGGTCATTATTCTTATCACTACTGTTACTACTACTGTAATAAAGTTCAGTTGAATCAAGAAATATTTATTTTGACACCCAATTTCCAGAACCTTCCCCTGTCTGCCACTCCCAGCACCCAGATCTTGCACTTATTCTGGGGCCCCAGGTGCAAATGAAAGGGGAGTTTCTAAGGATAGGGAGAAAGGGGGGAGCAAGAGCCCTAAGGGAGCCCCCCTTTCATCTTAGAGCAGCCAGATTTCTGTTTTTGCAAAACAGTGTGCTCACTATGCACTCCAGAGCAATAATAAACTTTGCTTGGCCGGCTGGCTCAGAGCAATGATTCCTTTGCAGAGAGCTGCTCCGGGAGCATTGCCTCATCTCCCAGACTTCTACCCTCCCCACACCACACTCAGTATCCTGGAGTGAGTCAAAACATAGGGCTAGGAAATGGCTTGACATTCCCTGCCAGCCTGAGGTTCCTTAGCTTTGGCTTAACTGGTTGACCCATTTCTTTACATTATTTATTCAGCCCTTCCCTTCATTGAACCAAAAATACTGGAGAAACAGCAACTTAGCCACAACCCTCCAGCCAGGCAGCTAGAGAAAGGAAGTTGGATCCTATGTCATAGTGTTATGTTTGGTATGCACACACATATGTCTCCATCTCCCTGTCTCAGTCTTCACTGTTACTAAAGGATACACACACACACACAAACACACCATAACTCAGACATACCAAGTTAGAAATCAGTGTGCATTTAAACAAACTTCCAATATGGTCTCTTAATCCTTTTATTTAAAGAGCACATCTCTCACCTGGTTTGGTCACCTGGGCCTATAATCCCAGCCAGCAATTTGGGAGGTTGACACAGGAAGATCATAAATTTGAACTCTCCGCTCCACTCAGCAATTCGGGGAAGCCCCAAGCAATTTAGGGAGACCCTGTCTCAAACAATAAAAAGGTCTGGGGATGTGGCTCAGTTTTTAAGAGACCCTGGGTTCAATACCTAGCACAAAGACAAAACAATCAACAACAACAAAAACTAGCTTTTTCCATGCCTGCCACTCCCCCCCCCCCCCCCCCAAAAAAAAACCCACCCTCTTTTTTTTTTTTTTAACTCCCACCCACCCCAAGAACCACTATCTTTTATGGTGATAAATTACTTCCTAATTGCTTGAATGAAAGGGTCCTTTTTGGAAATGTGTCAGATTGTGAAAGGCAAGAACTCCAATGTTTTGGAGATGTATTTTCCCCCTTCGCTTTGCACGTGGCAGGTAAGAAGGAAACGAACTGGGGAGGTGGCAAGTAGGGGTGGGCTCAACCTAAGATATGCAGAGATGCTCTGCACTCGGGTGTCTGGGTCTGGGAGGGTGAAAAGACTAGCGTAGCGAGGCACGAAACGCCAGCACTGTCTCCCCAAAGTTCCTTCCCGCTGTAGCTGTCTTTGCTAGCTTGCCTTTTGAGCTAGCAGTCTCAGAGAACCCCGCTCTAAACTGGAGCAAAAGGTCAGCTTTCCACTTGGCCTTTCCAGAGCGCCACCGCCCCACGTTAGCGGTGAGAGGATCGCCAGGAGCCTGCGCACTTCGAACTCCCAATAATCTCCTTCCTGCCCTTCCCTGCTCCCATCGTTTTGTGGCAGAGATGGAGAAAGGATGGGGTGCTCTTGGACTGGCATACCTACAGCCAGCTGGCTCCGGAGGCCGGGGTTGAACCTCGCGTCACCCGGCTGCAACGCGCGCCGCCAAGCGCTCCAGCGAGAGAAAGGCCTTTTTTGGTAACAGCCCCGCAATAAGCAGGACCCGATTCCTTGGCCTGCGAGAGCTGCCTCAGAGTAGATGAAAATAAACGCCTGGGTTGGGCCCGCCTCTGGCCTTCCCAAGTCCCCCAGTTCCCGCGCAACAGGAACCCCTGGGAGGTGATTGGAGCCCAGGGCCTTGCAAAGACGCGCAAAAGGGCCGTGGAGGGTGGGGGAATGAGATTGCAGGGTGATTTACACATTTACTCCCGGGCCCGATCCGTTGCGGAAGTATTTTCCTTTCCCTAAAGGATTAATCCTGGTGTTTAAAAAAAAAAATGTATTAACTTAGGCCAGGGCATAGGGTTACGCAAGAGCCACTCGAGCGTGAAATCCCAGGAACAACGTGATTCGCTGAGAAGTCCCGGGGAGCCGAGCCTGCACCGCCCGCCAGGACCTGCCCAGCCTGGGGCGCGCGGGCAGGCTGGAGCTCTGTGCAAAATCGGGTAGAAGGAAAGGGAGGGCTGGCGTAAGGTCGTGCTGGCACAGTGGCCGCAGTGAACGATCTGATCTCTGCCTTCTTCCTGGAGGGGCGGGGAACCGCGAGGGGAAGAAAGGCGGGGCAGGGTGGGGGAGTCGCGTCTGGCTTCTGCCTCCTCCCGGCTTCCTCTCCTTGCCCGTGTGCCAGGGCACTGGGGAGCCCAGCGCTGTCCTCATCAAAAGATCGTGTTTTTTTTTTTTTTTTTTTTTTGTTGTTGTTGTTCCAAAAATAAAGGAACCCTGAATCAAGCTGCCCAGGGAGGAGGCCTAGAGGAAAAAAGGGGGGAAGAGCCAGACAAGGGTGCCTATTCACAGACCCGGTGGGTTAAAACAAGTACTCAATCCCAAGAGGTGGGGGGCGAGGAAGGAAGCCTTGGACGAAGAAAGTAAGCGGGGAAGCTGGTGGGGTGGCGGTCAAGACCACAGGTGCGTGTACTCTCGAATCCTCGGCTTCACTCAGCTAGAGGTTCGAACTTGCCGGCACAGAGCAGGGGATTTCCACCTCCGGGCTTCGGAGACCCGTTGCCGCCGGCACTTTCCTGCTGAGGCCGCCGGAAGGCGGGGCCTCAGAGCGGGAAGCCCCTCCCGGCGGCCTTGCCACCCCTGGGTCATGTCTGGTACACGCGCTCCGCCATCGCTGCTGCCCCTCGCTTGGGTGGAATGGGCTGGACTTACAAAATATTTTGACTTCCTGAACTGGGTAGTTCAACCCCAAAGTAGGGAGAAAGAGAAAAGGGGCGGGTATTCGGTACACATTTACATTATGTTGTTCAACTTAGACTTTGGTGACTTTAAGTAGCTGTGTGACCTTGAGCAAATCACTTGCACTTTGGTTTCTTCATCAGTAAAACGAAAGTAATTACTCTGCTTCCTTTGCCTGTTCATTGGTACATGTGGAAGACAATAAAATGTAATAGATTTTTAACAATATAATGACCAACATTTGTCTATGACTCTGAAGTACATTCCCAGACATTATCTCACCAATCCCCACACCAACCTGTGAGGTAGGCGTTACTTTCATCAGCTTCCTCTACAGGTGAGGAAATCAGGGACAGAGGTGGTCCAGATTTACTGAAAACCAGCTTCCGTGACTGTAAACCTGGCGTTCCTTCTTCTACCTTGCCAGCTGCTAGCCTTTTGGGGGTCCCAGATGCTTTTAAGAAACTGCAAGAAATAAAGCCCCTTCCCCCACAGGAGTTTACAGGTTAATGAATGCCTTTACTATCCTAGTAGGTGCAAGGTTATGCATAAATTAGCACTGGTGATTGTGGAGTTAAAATCAGCCAGGCTGTCGCCTGTAGTCCCAGTGGTTTGGGAGGCTGAGCAGGAGGATCAGAAGTTCAAAGCCAGCCTCAGCAACTGAGTGGGATCCTGTATCAAAAAAAAAAAAAAAAAAGAGGGCAGAGGATGTGTCTCAGTGACTAAGCACCACAGAATTCAATCCCCAGTACAATAGTAATGATAACAATAATCCCATCCAACTTCAAGAAAACTTGGGCACTCATGTTTCTCTGACATCCCCTAAAAAATTTCTCTCCCTTCTTGTTTTTTGTTTTTGTCTTTGTTTGTTTGTTGCACTGGGGATTGAACCAGGGGACACTTTACTACTGAACTATAGCCCTAGTCCTTTTTAGACAGAGTCTCTAAGTTGCTGTGGCTAGCCTCCACCTTCAATCCTCCCGCCTCAACCTCTGATGTTGCTGGTATTACAGGTTTGCACCATCACAGAGGGCTTCTTCCTGGGTTTTCTATGCCCCAGCCCCAGTCAGAGGTAATGGAGGAAAATCTGAAGCTCTAGAATGAACTGAAGTATTTAGGAACCTCTCCAGTTGCCCTTATTCAAGGAAGAAAGATACCAGGCTGAACTATGAAGGGAAAGGAGGACAACAAAGTGCAAGCATTTTCTAGTGGAAAGGAGCCTCTTTCCAGATTGGGGGCACTTACCTGATATAGACCGTCCTGCACTTGGAATGGGGGCCACTTGACAAGCATGGCAGGCTGCTGACCTTAAAGCACACACAGCCTAGAAAGGGTCAGTAACCCTGACCATCAAACCTGACCTAGGCATCACTGGTGCCCTCAAGGCAGGGCACAGTGTGGCCCTCAACCCTGACCCATCTAAAGGACCATCATACTACTTTCACCTGAAGGTCCCTCTCTGGCCAGTCCCAGAGGATCTAAGCTAGATGGGTCCCTGGTGGGTGTGAAACTGTTCTTTTGTGTTGTTTTAAAGATGAAACTTAAAAATGCAAGAAGGCTTGGTGGGTTTCCATTCCCTGCTCCTTGACTTGTGCCCTTCCATTTGCCATTCATCCACTTATTCATCGATTTATCTAGAGAGCCCTTTCTCTCTTGGTGCTGGGATCTAAGGATGAACCAAGCCAGACAGCTCCAGCACAGAATCCAGAAGCTTCCATTTCCTCCTAAGTGTCCTAGTTTCCTGATGCAGTAGTCCAAAAGCCATGAGAGGCAGTGCTTTTTCAACACTCCCACCAGCCACATGACTGACTTACAGCAATCTATTTATTCTCCCTGGGCCTCCTTTCCTCACCTGTCAAATGCAGATCTTAAAGCCTGCTCTCACTACTTCAGGGGCTCCCTGTGAAATCCCATATGTTAATGCCCAGGGCTGTAGAAGGGCCAGCACTGTCACAGATCTCTTCCAGCACTGAGCCCTTGCAGGTAAGATGGGTGGAAAGCCAGTCCTGCTGCTCAGCCCTGTCCATTCTCTTCACCTTGCCCTTGGAGGGTTTCCTCCTGGGTTACCAGTCTAGCATCTCTTCCCTTCAGGGCTGACCAGCAAATAAGCAGTGACTGCCTCTCCCCCTTAGAGCAGGAGCAAGACAATGGCACCCGGAAGGCCTCTCACTTCTCATCTCTCCTAGAGAGATAAGGACTTCCCTTCCCAAGTCCCTGGAGGATAGAGAAGCTCAGAGCTGTTGGATTTATTTGGGGCTTTTACTTTTTTGTTTTGGCCAATTTGGAAAGAAAGAGGCAATGACCTCCTCTTTAAAAAAAAAACAAAACTCGGCAGGAAGTGTGCTGGGCCTGAGTGGCAGGGACTAAGGGTGTAATTACAGGTTTTTGTTCAGCATTTTCGTGTAATTAAATCCAAAGGAAAGTGAGCCTGGCCCGGGCTTCTTGGATGCAGGGCAGACCAGAGCTGTATGTGTGATGGGGAGGGAGGAAAGGCAGGAGGTGAGGAATGGATTTGCTTTTTAACTGAGAGGAAGAGGGTTTCTTGCCTTTATTAATATTTTTTACATTTCTTTTCCAAAAGGTGGCCGATCATTCATCTTTTATTCGGTGCCACTGCGCTCTCCTTGGTGACATTTCGCAGCCATGCTCACTCAGCCTTCTAGGCACTGATTTCCTTTTACCGCCGACTTCCTCTCCCCCTCCCCACTTTTACATATTGCCGCTTTCTGCCTGGTTGCCCACACAATAAACCCACTGCAGAATTCACAGTCAGCCTCCTTGCCTCCGGAGTTTCGATCCCAGCGACCCCCGACGCCGCGAAAGAGTCTCTCCTTTTGTTTTGAACGGCCTCTGGCTTTCCCTGGTCGGCTTTACCATACTTGCTACCACCACCCACCCTTCCAGTCCTCCCCTTCGCTGCCTCGGTTTCCCTACGCCCGCAAGCAGGCTCTGTGCACGCGCAGCCCTAGGGTGTACCCCCTGCGCATTAGAGAAGGGTCCCAAGACGCTGGACACGCGCGCTCCTCTCCCCGCTCCTCCCCTTCCCAGGCCCTCGGTGGCACTCTGACGTTCCCTGGACGTCCTGAGCTGGCAGCAAGAAAGGATCCACTGTCTGTCCACATTCTTAAGGGCAGTAAACCTGACCCACCCCCAAACCACGCGCCCAGAGTAGGGACACTCATATTTTAGGGGAGGGCGGGCCTCTGCTAGGGTTAACCGGGACTGCCCTCACAGTCGTCCCCTCTTCCCCTCTTCTCTACCCCCACCCCTGGCCCGCAGATCACCCGCCTCAGCCCCCTTCACCTACTCTTCCCAAGAACAGATTGTTTATCAGGACGGGCAGCCAAGAAACCTACTCCTGTTTCTGGTCTCTGCCAGAGATTAATCACACTTGGGAACGGCACAAAACTTGACTGTGTTGGGGCGGGGGAGGGGGGGTTAGTTAAAAGGAAAGACCGATAAATTTGACATTTGACAAGCTGACCAAATCGGGGCTACTGCTACCTCTCCCCTCCTTTATTTTAGTAAGTCAGCGCAAAGGACTGAATTATATTTCATTCCCATTCCCTCGATTCCACCCCCATAGTCCCCCTCCTTCTCTAAGTCCCCCTCCTTCTCCAGGTCTTCCTGTTTGATGCTTTAATAGTACTGACTGGCTTTTAATTCTGATTAACATTCTCAGCTGTGTGTGTGTGTGTGTGTGTGTGTGTTTGGGGCCTGGCAAGACACACTCACAAACTGGACTGCCTGACAAATCCCCTCTTTTCATCCTTCTCTTTGAAATGACATCAAGATGGACTGGGGGGCTGGGGGCTGAAGAGAGAAGGCATGGAAAAAAGGGAGGGAGGGGGAAGTAATTTATGTGCTTTTCTAAGGCAGCTAGTAAAATTCCTAAGGGAGAACAAATGCCAAAATTGACTGTCTTGGTGTGTTTTAGACCAGATCATCAGGGTGAATTGTGTCAGGGCTTTGCCCTGGACTTTGGGCCTGGAAGCCTGGGGATAGACACACAAAACATCCCTGTGGCTGGGAGGTGCCCTTTCTGAAGGAGGCAGGGAATGGGTATTTGCTCTCAACAGATTCCTCTCTATCAGGATTTTTATCTAATTCATTGCAAGACAGATTTTTAAAAAAAAATGGCACTGATAAAGAAAAGCCATGGAAAGAAAACTCCCCATAAAACATGACCCCCAAAGGGAAGGTGCAAAACCCATTTGATCCAAGACATAGATATCTCCACCCTGGATTTTTTTCCCCCTTTGCTTTACAACTCTGCAGACATCAGGTTAGCAAAAGGTAATAAATAGTCCTTGCACAGCAGGGTCTGGACTAGTGAAAACAGTTTACTGAAATTAATGGGCCTCGCTTGAACCAAAACCTCCACTTTGGAATTAATGCCAGACATAGTTTTCCTGAACTCTATCCAACCGCCTAAGCGGCAGACAATTTTCGTTCTATTTGTGCTGGAAAATAAAGCCCAAACCCTTGATCTCAGTGTAGATTTTCATTAAAAAAAAAAAAAAATCAGCACAGTGAACACTATGCCAATTTCCACTTTCTGCCAGTAGAAGCCCTTGTGCTCTGGGCTGTGCATGACGGTCAGAAGTTATCTGGTAAACTTTCCATTGAAAACCATCTCTGAACTCCCTCCCTATCGGTGGCCTCAGAGCTTTCATCATGACGTCTGAGAGATCCAAGGAAAGTTCCAGAAACAGCTCAGCTCTCAATAACAACCCTCTTCCCCACAGCTCGCAGAAAAGCTGGAGATGAACAACATTTTGCATTTGCCTGCAGAACTTACCATTCCCAACCCTACATGCAGCTCAAAAACCATCCAGCCAAAACCCACCTCCCCACCCTCCGCCCCTCCCCACCCAGGGCTCAGGGTATCTTAGTTCTGAAGCTGCTTTTATTTTTATTTATTAATGTATTT